GGGGGGCGGGGCGCCAAAAAAGCCACAAAACCAGGCACTTCTCCTCCCACAGACTGTGGTCCCTCAACGCAGCGGGGACAGGGACACTGCAGAGAGCACAGCCCCCAGGCTGGGGCTGGGACAGCCAGGCTGGGGCGCCTGGATGGGTCACAAAGGTGGCTGCAGTGCTTGCTCCTGAAAGGAGCAGGGGACACGTAAGGGAGCTGTGGGACACCCGCGGGGTGCGCAGCCCGCTGGCAGTCGAGCCCCTGCCCGGCACTCACGCTGCTGGAAGGCGTTGAAGATGTTGATGAGGGTGAAGTGGTCTCCGTCCGGGTGGAGCAGGGCTCGCCGGCGCATGGTCGCGGCCTCCTCCAGGTGGGTGGAGGGGGGAACAAAGCAGGGGGAAGCTGGGGATGACGCAGAGGGAAGGTCACCACATGCCCCCCAGCATCAACGGTGCCAGTGCTGGCTCTCTGGGGACTGCGCTGTGCCCTGCACCAGCAGCACAGCCGGCTCTGAGCCCCTCGTGAGTACCTGTGAGCATGGCAGCCAGGCTGACCATCTCCTCCACACAGTCGAACTCGCAGGAGGCGATGAGTGCCTTGGCCAGCTGGGGGTCCAGGGGGAACTCCGACATGATGATCCCCACCTCTGACAGGTTCCCGTCATCGTCCAGGGCAGCCAGGTAGTCCAGGTCCTCCAGAGCTTGCATCAGCGACTCAGGGGCTGGGGCAGAACGTCAGCCAGCTGCCACAACCAGGCAGCCCATCCTCTTCCTGTACCCGTGGGACCCTCCAGCCCCTCTCCAGAGACAACCTGGGCTTCAGTGACAACCATGGCCATGGCCAACTTCCAGCTCCCTCCCGTATGGCTGCCCCTATCATGCCCCTCTGCTCCGGCCCCCCCACGCCATGCCCGGCCCCTCTGCACCCCGTGGGCACTACCTGGCCGGTCGAGAAAGTCGCACTGGCCCATATCGGCAATGTCCAGGCGCTTCAGCAGCAGCACGAGGCGGCTGAGGCTGGTCTCGCTGACGTGGGGTGCGGGGCTGGGGGGCAGGTGCTGTTCGTAGAAGGCCTCTGAGTAGAGGCGCAGGCAGGTCCCTGCAGGAGAGGAGCTGTGAGCCACAATGGTGGGAGGGATGAAGCCCGGGGAGGCGGCAGCAAGTGCAGGCAGGCAGAGAAGCGTGCTGGGTCACGGGCTGCCTGGAGCCCCAGTGGGGTGGGACAAGAGCCCTCTCCCACTGGAGGCACATTTGGGGGACACCAGGGCAGGGGCTCTCACCTTGGGGGCTGCCCGCAGCTCGCTGCATGCGTGACTCTGCCTGGCTCTTGCTGATGGGCCGCAGCACCTGGGACTCTGCCCGGATGCGGGGGTTGTAGCCCTGCAGGCGAGGCCATGAGAAGGGACACCCACTGACAAGCCCCCACCTTCTCCCAAGGTCCCTCCACCCTGCTGGTGCAGTGCTGTCGCTGCCACCTCCCCGGGGCAGATTCCACGCCCCACACAGCGTCCCCCAGCCTGGGGCATCACGGCAGGACCCGGGCTGAGCAGACAACGCAGACTGCTGCGACCCCACCGCCTCCTCCCCCGTCT